GTGTAGCAGTGCGATGACCCTTGATGGGGGGAGGTTCCTCTGCAGAGCCTCGTCTCAACCAGTCACCATAAAAAGAAAAATATACAGGCAGATCTTCGCATAGCTCACACCCGGAGCAAAGCAAACACTCTCTGCCATGTCGTGGCCTCTCTCGTGTCCTCACTTGTCTCTGGCCTTTGACAACCTCCCCAGAGTGTCCTGGATGGTTTCCTCATCATCCCGTTGAGTGGCTGACACCCTGAAACAGGAAGGGACTCCTGCCATGACCCACAATGACTAACACAGACAGCAGAGGGGAGCCTGGATGAGTTACATCATGTCGTCTTCAGGCTGCCCTGCACCTGCAACGTGATAACTTTATGAGGACGGGGACCAGCAGGAGAAATGATTTGCGAAAAATATCATGTTGTGTACTCCTCGTGATTACATACACCGAATCCAACTTTTACAATGAGTGTCCAGAGGAGTCATGTGGATCTGCTATTCATGAGAACATAGCTATAAATAAAAACAGGCTGAAAAAACCGTCTCTTTTTCAAAGGGTTTTTCAAAGCCTGCCGTTATCTAAACTGAGCGACACATTCTGGAAGCAGCGGCTGATAGGATGCAGTCAGTCTTTCTGTCAGTTCAAACAGAGCCTCGGCCTGTTCCCCCCCGTCTCAACGGGGTGGTCCCTCCTGTGCTGACCATCCCTATTCAGGACACCTTGGCGGAGATTACCGCAGCGGACAGGAACACGCTTGCCTCAATCAGCAGTTTCAAGCAGGTGTGCTGTACCTCTCTTTTCTTTCACATACATCTTTAACTCACTGGTTTTAGACAGTTCCCCTTGAGTAAATTGAAGTCCACACCGTCACACACTTCTTCACTGAGCCAAGCGAAACGTACGCAAATGCAAAATCCTATTAAGAGCCCGTCTTTGATGCTGCTGTCAAACGGTTTTCCTCTCAACAGATCGGACGTGCACGGCACAGTGAAGGTGGAGGTGATATGTGGCTCTGCACTGTAAATGCACTGTAAGCTGATCTGTACACAATAGGAGATGGCAAATGTGCTGGCCAGATGTGGCTATTGTTGTGGTTGCACGGCTGTGGTCGGTGAAACTCGGTGAAAACCTCATCCGCTAACTGGAGAAAGTCAGAGTTGACTAACTGTGGTGACTTTTAGCTGAAAAGATGACTAACTTCCACATTGTTGTGGTGTGACCCAAACCGCAGACCAGATTAATTCACAAATATGGAACCATAGAGTGTGGTGGCTCTTGGATACTCCAAGTCAAGCTACTTTATTAGGATTAGGTGCAGCAGGACAGTAACTTAGAAACATCAGGCTTGTTAAGATTCTCTTTTTTTTTAAATTGAAATGTAACACAAACTAGAATCTACAGATACACTCTTTGAATCTCCATACATTTAAGGTTACTTCCAGGCTGGACGGTGCCACAAACGCAGCATCCTGGCTCAGTCCATATAGATGTATGGTCAAATGTGACCACTCGGTTGAGCAGGATTTCCTTGGAGACTTACAGTGTTCAGGATCAACCCAGTGACCTGAAGCTCTACTGGCTTGCAGTGGCTGTGGTTGGAAAGAGGGCTGATGCCAGGCTCTATATGGCCAGTGCCAGCCAGGCTTTGGCACACTCAAGACCATTTCGGGTGGCAAGCATTCCATCAAGCCTCTTTATTTTTCTATTCCTATAACTGTGGGAGTCTGGATTAATGACAGTAGCTTTGCTGACCTTGTGACTCTAAGCCATAGCTATGCAGCTGTTCATCACATCAGAAGAATGTGTTGTAAACCACGCTGTTCTTCTCCACGGTTCAGGAACTATGTATATGAAGCATTTTACATGCATGTACAGTTAAAGGGACAATTTGACATGGAGATGAGGAGACAGAGAAGAGTCTACAGCCACCGGCCCTGTGAGGCTGTATATATAGGAGCAGCTAAGCCTACCAATATCTTCATAAACCACAGTATTGGACAAATTAAAAGGTTGATGACGGCACTAGATCAAACGTGAAGGGACATTAATGTTTGTAACGAAATTGTTTTATTTGCTGACACATTTCACGCAAAATCCCATTGTGGCGCTATACAGGAAAAGTCAAGGAATCACAAAAGTCATTAAGACTCATCCTCTGGGGGCCATGAACATCTGTATAAAGGTTCATAGCAATCTATGAAATAGTTTTTGACGTGTTTCAGTCCGGCTCAAAATGGTTGACAGACTTGACTTTGCCATCCCTTGAGCGACGCCACTTCATGGCAAAAAACATTTGGTCTGACTTCTGATTTCTGTCTGTTTGCTGTACTTATACACAGATAGACATCCGAATGAATCTCACTCCACAGCCTATATTCAAACCTGCTATGGTGACACCCATACTGATAACAAGGGCGGAGCAGCACGGAGGTGTTTCTCAAACAGCGGTACGGGGTCTACATTAGATGCCCTGTCTTAACAGAGAAAATACAAGAGCTGAAATGTTTTCTGACACACAGAATATGAAACAGCTGCAAATCCCAGCAGGACAACTAACCCCATGAATTAACCTCTCTCCAACATCAAATAAAACATGGACAGCCATCAGCTAGGGGACACTTAATCTCCACGCTTGCATTTTTTCCAAGACCGCTTGCGAACAGTAAGCTTCTGCTTGCGTCTGACCTCGCGTACGCATGGACGTTTATATCATTTTCAGAATGAAACATGTGTCGGCAGTCCCGTTTCTGACACAGGAATGTGAGGCTTTTTCATTTATGTGCTGCTAGTTGTACAGGTTGAGTGTGGACCTGCAGCATCCTGGCTCAGGCGTTGAGAGACGGGTCTCAGCACTTAAATCACAGAGGATTGATAGGAGCAACAGAGAATCTGTGAAATATCAAGAGATGAGGGGAAAGTTCTCTTTAATCAGCAGCGGTATCCCATCCATACATTCCTTTGCTGCACTTAGTCGCCAGACCATTGTCATCACTCTGACGCGCATTTCTCTCAGTTTTCCCCATAATCCTCAACAATATGGACTGCAGAACCACACTGTCACCAGTCACAACATAAAGGGAGCCAGTTAAGACCCTGATAGGGCAACTAGAGGCAACACAGCTGAGGCAGAAATCCCCCTCCCAAAATGCCAAAAGAGTCAAAGTCATTTTAGTGAAAGAAGCAAGAGATCTCTTCTTTCGTGCTCCGAGCATGCTCACGCACAGAAACCTGACGTTTGCCTGTGTTTGGACCGAGGCCTTAAGGACCTTTCACATGAAGCATGAAGTCAGAACACTATATGGTGAAGGGTGAACTTCCCGGGGAGAACTTCAGGCCAGGCCTGCTGCTGGAGCGATGCTCTCCTGTCCTTCAACAACCCTGATTAAGATTGGCCGCTAAATCAGCCCAATCCTCGCAGATGATGAATACCTGCAGCCAATCCAGTTGGCAGTTAATCAGTGGCGTCCAATCAGGTAATGAGGACCTGCATGTTGGAATGGGAAGCCCCATGGCTGTTCAGCAGAAAGGAGGGAGCGAGGTCAAGATCTAAAGATACTTGAGGCGTGCCACGTTTGTGTTCTCTGCCCTGTGAAGATGACTGTCAGAGGAGAACTATCTCTGATCAGAGGAGCTGACGGACATCTCCTCAGAGGCAGGGTGTCTGACTCAGAGATGGGAAATGAGGCACTCTATTTTCGATCAAGTAAATTCTTTGGTTGGCTCACCCAGGAACTTGGCAACCCCCGAACCCCAAAAACCGAGCTGCAGTCAGGTCTGGAGATGCTTATGGAATACTACATGGAACATTTGTCAGAGGAACATGTTTTCCCTGGGAATTAGTATCATCAGATGAATTTACAAAAATGCACAGTATTGTTGTTAAGCGATCTCCCACGGGTTCTCGGGGGGGAGAGGGGGGACAAGCGTTCCAACATGGTACATTAGTCTTTGTGAGAGCCAGAGGATGACTTTCTGATTTGTGGTCCCTCTTTAGCAAGCATTCCTGGGGGGAATTTGAGAAAGACCATTATGCAAATCCACAGGTGCATGCCAAGACCAAATAGCTGGACTCCTGCCTCCAAGTACTTCAAGATGCCTTTCAGCCCACTCCTGATAGTGTTCAGGCCACAGTGAGGAGACACGGCAGGAACACGTGGGTGCAGCGTGGAGGGCCACGGGGGCCTGCATGTCCACAGCCGTCAAAGCAAAGCAATTTAGAAAGTGCATTATCAGACACTGTATGACTTCAGGAAGCAAACATTCAGTCAAAGCAAAAGCATATTCCTATCACATCTTGTGCTGATACGGCTGTCAGTTACGCCACATGCAGTGAAAGGAAAGGGAGCGCTTGTTTTTCAGTCGGGTGTCATCACATTTGATACACAGCACAGCTCTCAAGAGACTGATTCCATTAGACCTTCGGCTGCCGTGAAAGCAGCAGGTTTGAATGAACTTTGTTTATTTTCATTTGTTCATGTGAGGTATGTG